CCGCCGTTCCAGCTGCCAGCTAAGCTGCGGGAGGGATTGGGGGCTGGAAAGAGCTCGATTCCGGTACCCGTAGGGGTGTTTAGGGAGCTGGTGGTCACGCGGCGGGGGAGGGCAGGTCCCCCACGGTCCCTGTGGGTGTAGCGTCCCGCCTGTCGCGAAACCCGCGGGTTTGACTGTTGCTGTCAACCTGTGCTCTGAGTCCATGCCTTTTCCTCCCTTGGCTTTAGGGAACCTGGAATGGTTAGACAAGAACAAAACCAGTTTTCTGATCATGTGGAGGAGACCAGAAGAGTGGGGAAAGCTCATCTACCAGTGGGTGAGAGCGCAGAAGCTGCCTGCCCCGCAGACCAGGCTCTCTGAGTCCGGGAGGACGGGTGGTATTGGCTGCAGCTTGTGAAAAAGAGCACTGTAATGCTTTTCTCTTCCTTCCTGGGGGCTTTTACCTTTCTTCCTCCGTCCCGCTGTCACAGAGACGTTAACAGCCTTTGGCTCGGTGCAGGATGCAGCGCGAGGGGCGGATGCTCCTGTCGCAGGCGTAGCGAGGGCAGAGCAGCGCTGCTGTGTCGCCTTCGTATGGCGCCAGTCCTTACGCGAAACGCGTGGGCAGAAGGAGCAGGGGGCAGGGAAAGGGACCGGCTTGGTTTCCTTAGGCTCTTTCCTCTTGACCCTCCAGCGTGCCCTGGCGCATTTCCAGGGAATCTTTGCCCCTCGGGTGCTGTCCGTGTCGCGTTTCGCCTGCGCTGACGTGTACGAGCGATGGTGCTGAGGGCGTTCAGTCACACGGATGAGATTTGCTCTCTCGCTTGTGCGTTTCCAGGTGTCAAAGAACGGCCTGACCAACTCCGTGTTCACGCTGTACGAGTTAGCCAGCGGGGACGATACAGAGAGCGAAGGTAACGTTGCGTTAGTCCCGGAGCGGGTTTTCCGAGCGCGCTTGAGCCGAGCGTGTAAACAGTGGGTACTTTACACCCGCTCACGTGAGCCGACCCCGGTGCCCGCTGCAGCTTTGGTGAACATCTCCTTTTGTTGTCACTGTTGGCATTTGAAACCCCAGCCCTTTATCTGGCGTGAGGTGGGGGGTGTTTGGGTTCACGCCTTGAGACTGCGCTGCCTCGTTCCCTGCCGTCTGTTGACCTTCAGGCTTTGTTCCTGACGCGCCAACGTAGCGATGAGCCTGTCGCTGTAGCCGTCACTCTGGGTTTGCCGTAGTCTGATGGCTGCTCTTCGGAGCCCTCTGCTTCGCTGCCCCACTCCCTGGGGTTTAAGCCTGTTTGTTTCCTGCTGTGATTTTGGGTTTTCTGTTGATGGGGATCTCCTTCCTTCCCTAGAGTTCCACGGCTTGGATGAGACGATGCTGCTCCGTGCCCTGCAAGCCTTGCAGCAGGAGCACAAGGCTGAAATTATCACTCTGGACGACGGCCGAGGGGTCAAGTTCTTCTGACAGGAGCCCCCTCCCCTCTCCCTGGCTGCTGAAGCGGTTCTCGCTGCGAAGGTTCGCTCTCCTGGCCTGGTTTTGAGCTGTGACTGTAAGCAGCTGCTCACTGGGGATTTCCTGGGCCAAGGAAAGAGCCTTTGGAGCCTTCCAAAGACACAGCTTCTTAGAAATATCCAGAGGTCCTCTGTCTTTTCTCCCTGTTGATTGTGTCTGAGAGGCTAAAGCTGCTCTGGGCAGTTCTGGGAGGGACCACCCAGAAGTGAAGTAGTGGGGCTGCTCCCGTTTCTGATTCCTGTTCCTGTGAAGGCCACGGAGCAGTCGTTTGGCCTCGAAGGGCCCCTCCTTCCCCCCCTACAGCCACGCTGTCGGGCTCTGCGGCCCCCACTGCGTTGCCCAGCGGGGTGAACGCCAGCACGAGGCACTCGCCGTGGAAAACCTCGATGGCAGAGTGACACGTGCCTGCGGCAAAACAGGCTGTGCAGCCGGGTGGGGGCGGGTGCCACGGAATTAATTTGGAGTAATTAAAATGAGAAGTATTTATAGAGCAGCCTGGGTGTTTTCCTCCGTCTCTGCTTTTCCATCGGAAACAAAACGGAGCAGCGTATGGGATTCTTGCCCTCCAGCCACGTTTCCTTACTGCAGCAGGTGAGCCGGGGAGAGGGGGTGCCTGCCG